GTAACCTACATCGTATTTAATTGATTTAATTGTATGGAATGTAGTACATACTTACGTCACTGATTGAAGTTAGGTTATTGTCGGACAAATCTAACCACGAGAGGTAATCAGCCATTTCGAATAAACGATCTGCTAGGTTCCTCAGGCCATTGACGTTTTTCAAATTGTTTTTGTTCAGCCAAAACGAACCTGTCTTGTAACGGTTGCTCCTTAGGCCTTTCTTTGGCGCTCCCCGCACTCTCAGCGGCAATGGTTCTTCGTTTCCGTTCAACTCTGAAACCACACAAGTTACTAATTTTACGAATTTTTTCATATATATTGACTATGTCACTGTGATATACTGATATATTATTATTAATGATGAACTTATATATAAGTATAAAACTGTTTTGTGTGAATCAATGCTATTCAATTATTCAAAATATAAATATTTGTACAACAGAATGCAACGAAATTATCTTTTATTAGAAAATAGAAATAACTTTTCTTTCATATAGGGTTAAAGGGTTTGATATTTCTGATAATATATAATTTATTAAGTTTATATAATACAAATAAATTAATTTAATATTTAATACTATCAAAAAATCATAAGCTTTACATTTCTATTTTTCGATGCAGTTTTTCAATACTCAATGCTAGTGAATAAATTTTGGACATTCTATTATCCAATGAGTACCTAGTTGATGTCGGTTTACACACATTTGATTTTTACACGAGAGTAGGTACGTGCGTACAGCTTCCTCTTGACCAATATTCTAGCAATCAAGCTATTTAGGTAGGTATTTTACATTAATTATTAAATTTTAACCAGAAACGATCATTAACATACCTAAATTATAAATAATGTAAAAGTAATATGAATTGTCCATATTAAATGTTGAATTGACTAATGTTGTACCTAGTGAAGATGAGTAGGTAGTAAGAGAATGACTTATGTTATACTTTTGAGTAGATCGGTATCGATGTTAGGATGGGACAAATTTATTTAGGTATGAGATAATATGCCCTCGATGTGAATTTTATACCTATTAATATATTTGTATATAATATTAATAAAAAAAAAAACGTTACGTGTTAAATATATATGCCCTAACCTATGATCTGTTATTGTTACAGTTAAAAATACACAAAAATAGGTACGTACCTAGTGCCTACACAACTACCATCAATACGAACAATATAAATAGGTATGAGTAGCTTTTAGCTATGTATACCTTCAAGTGACACAAGGTTCCTGTAAGAAAAATCCAATGGTTTTGCGCATTTAAAATATTGGTAGGCTGTGTTACACTTAGACCCGTCATCCTGTGACATTTGGTGACGCTTGTGTGTGTAATCGATGTATTTCGTTAAAAGTGAATATGTTTATATCAAAATATGTGTTGTGTATGAATTACGTAATGGATAGTATTTTTTATTTTATCACAATGCGCACGGGGAAATTAAACAAAATCTAGCAGCCGTGGTTACGCCGTTGGGTTAGAATTTTAAATATTTTGTACCATGGTTAAGATACCTCCTGTGAACTATACAGAACTATACAAATTGTCTAAAAATGACTCACAATAATAAATAATAATCATTTACAACTAACACATAGATCCCGAATGCCTTTGACAAGATTAGCCTAAATGTAGCCCTTTAAATAATGACCGTAGCGAGGCCCCTTAACTTATTCAACCTAATTGCGGATATTATTAATTCATTGGATAGTATCTCAATGAATAACGATACAAATATCCTGTTTTCGTGAGATGAACAAGTTAGATGTATTTATTAAAAAATTTACTTTTAGTATGTAAATTACGTGAGCCATTGAGTATGTTGACTAATATAGTTGGCAAATCCCTTAATTTTCATTCGGCAAATTATAGTGAATACACCCCCCTAAAAAAATGTAAAGCGCCGGCCCTGTAAGTAGCTCCATTTAATTTAGTTTAGTTTTTCCATTTAGTTTAAAAAATAGAGTGAATCGACCTCTTATAAAATCTTAAGGTAAGATTATTAACTAGACAACCTCGTGGGCTTTTTATTATATTTTCATTTTAAAGCGAGTTATGAGTATTTTAAGCTGTACAAACAATTTACAATTTTTAAATACTTATAGCTCGCTTTAAAATTAAAATATAATAAAAAGCTCATGATGAGGTCTAGATAATAATCTTACCTTTAGATTTTTATAAAAGGTCCATTCTGATTCACTCTAATTTTTAAACTAACGGAGCTACAAGTGTTCTGCAAAACGTAAAATTTGCTATGTTACGCAATTGTAAGATGGAGACAACACATGCGGGTGTGGCGTCCTCTTAACAATCATACAGACGATTTGATTCATTGCTATTTGCCTATTTATATGTATAACAATTTAAAATTATTGCTATGCAGTTTACTATAGTATTAGGGGGTGTAGGGGACAAAGCCTACCCACAGATATGTGTACCATAAATAATTTATGGTACACAGACCTACACCTGTGAATAATTATTATTCCAGTAACCCTAAATACCCCATAAATTCACACCCAATGTATGTGCTTATGTGCGCCTATGGTGAATAAGCCGCATAAGTTATATATTTGCGTATATTACTTATGTATACCTCCGTTGGAAAATAAAAATGATTAACTATAGGTATAAATGTAAATAAGAGTATAAAGAATAAGGATGTGTGCATTGTGGCGGTATCGGGTATGCAATTGTACCTATTTCCTATTATGTGTAGGTATTGGCAGTGGCTATTTTTTTACTAAGAAATCTCCAAAATGCACTAGGAAAAATAAAAATGTGCACCTGCCACCTAAGATTTTATATAGATCAGATGTTGAAGTTGAATCGAAGTATTATTTCTACTAGCAAAAATGTTTACAGACAAAAAAAACACACTATTGTATAATCAATGCATTCATTGATCCCCTTAGAATCTAAAATAACTTAAAAATCTTAAAGCATTTTACATGTAATTAACATATTGCAACTTGTAAGAATGTACACGATATTGTAGACAATTTGACATTCGCATTGACCTACACAATCAATAGTAATTAAATTCAAATACAAATGTGCAGTATGGAAAATCAGAAAATATAGCCACTGGGTATTGGTCTTGTTATGCTTAATCAGTTTTAAACTTTTAATACAAACCAATAACCATATTATAATACATTATGATTTCCTATTCGTGTGTACATTTAGTCTACTTACTTCACTGTATATAGACAAAATCTTGAAGGTGCACTGCAGTCTGAACTTTTTAGGTAGCACAATAGTATGATTTTGCAGCACTGTCAGTTGTTAGATTTTTCCACACACATCTACAGTCTAAATGACTATACTCCGGCCCACGAGAGTCCATACGTAATCCGCGCATCGATATAGTAGTACGCGACGTCTGTTTTCTCCCACCATGATGTCATTCCCACTATTCGGCAACATGCAGATGTGCAGATGGACGCGTTTGGACATATGGACTCTCGTGGGCCGGAGTATAGTTATATTTTTCATTTTAAACTAATCTATTTAAATTTATTTTGAAAAAAATAAAGAACATTGACTATTGAACAACTATAGACTATTGGCTACAGGTACAGGGGGGGGATTCAATGTTTAGGAGTACTTTGTACCAATATATTTCACCTAACCAACCTATCAAGCAAATGTTATTTCACCATATGAATATAAGTTTAACCTATACTTACCCTGCTATTAATTCAAGATGACAAATGTCTGGGTATGTTATACTGTGTTCTTTAAAATATTAAAATATAAATACAATATTAACATAATTTTATTTTTTTCTGAATGGAGCTTGGATTTGTACTAGGATAAACATTGGTATATCATATTTACAAAACAGTTTGGTAAATATACATAAGTTATCGTACAGATATCATATTATATTTTTCTACCGCACAGTTTCTAGTGTTAATATTATTAAAATCATTATAAATACAATTTATTTGTAATAGTAAAGCTTTACTATGGATACCATTCCTAATATAATGATTATCAAGATCTACATCACTTTGTCACATATTATATTATGTTCATATTTACCTAACCCTAAAAAAGAGAGCACCTCAGCAACCCATTTGAGTGCATGGATGTGGCCTTGTTCCAAAGCACTATCTCTATTCGAAAAGAGTTGACCCACTTGCGAGCATGCATACTGAGCCACCGGTACATTCAGACCCTAGAAACCGGCGGTGTTCGTCGAAGTAGGCAGCTGCTATTGGCGACAATCACCATTAGCGCTCCAAAGACGGGCCAGCCTGCACGGCCACGACCAGTTTTCGTCAAGCGAGTGGGTCGACTCTCTGTGAATAGAGTAAGCCTCATGCATAGAATAAGGGAAGAATCTGACTGTCCCAGACAAGAACTTGGTGCCGCAGCCTGCAGAGGTATATTCTTATTCTGAATAAAGCTAAGATATCATCTTCATGTGTAGTAGGTACTTTTTATATGAAAAGGTATTACACTATATTATTCCATCCCGTTTTCATTGGTTGATTATTTTTTAATAAAAGTGAAAAATCTTATAAAAATATTAGATGATAAAATTTATGAACTATTTTCACATAGGTATACCTGAATTTCACTTTAAATAGATCCTCAAATACATTCAAATAGTCGTATACACACAGAATTTATTAACTATTAAAATTGAAAGGATATATTATCACAAAATGAATAAGCAAAAATATATGTAATAAATCAAAATACAACCCAATGTTATTAGTATTATAACTGCTATGTATTTTAAAATAAAGATTAATGAGTTAATTAAGTTAATGAATTAATTAATCTTAACATTTTAACATAATAAACAAAAGTAATATGTATACAACATGATAAGAACATTACATAAATAATTATAAAACCAATTTTAAGTAGCACAAAAATTTAATAACTATGGACCACCTTAAAATAGTCAAACTTCTTAATTTAATCAGTCCATATTTAGGTTGCTTAAATAAATAATAATCCAATGTACCAACTGATTTACCATCCATCATCGTCAGCAGCTTGCTGTAGAAAAAAAAAATTAAAATTAAAATAATTACATTACAGATAACTTAATTTAGACAATATATAATATTAAGAGGATGTAGGCACACCTTTGTTTCCTCTCTCTGACCTACGGGCAGCAACATAGCAATTTGATTAGCAAAACTAATTTATAAATCATAATTATTTACATGCTTAGAACTTGCATAGAAATTAAAAATTATAAAACAGCTAGGTAGGTGTGTACCTAATGTTTCATAAACTTAAAATTTAATAATAAGCGAATTCATTCCAAAATAATAAGTAAAAACACGGGGTTATGCTAAACGTAAATTTGCCATATGCGCGTGGGTCAGAGAAAACAAAATATGGAAAAAAAATTTCATTTAAAAACATACTTAGCAGTTCATATGGAAATAATTCGTAATTCAATCAATAACAAAAAAGTACATTTACAAAATATATTTACCGTAGTCATTCTAACATCACTGCATGCATTGCTACTACTTCCACCATAGGAATCTCCGCCATAGGAACCGCCATCTAAAAATGAAGGCACTTCTTGTTCAGCCTAAAAAATCAACAATATATTAGAGTATACCAGTAGAAAAAGTTTTAAATGTACAGACCTGTTTTAGAATCCTAACAAGTTCCGATGATAAGTTATTATCACTAGTACTATCATAAAACGAAACTGCTCTACCAGAATTACCCAGTCTTCCAGTTCGGCCTATTCGATGCACATACTCATCAATAGAGCTCGGCATATCAAAATTTATTACGCAATTAACACCTTTTATATCTGAAAAAAAATTAGAAAATATAGTTAAAGAACAAAACAAAAAAATTAGAATTTACAAACCCAGGCCTCTAGCAGCAACTGCAGTGGCAACCAAAATTTTCATTTTATTATTCTTAAAATCTCTCAATGCTTGCTCTCTCTCTGGTTGTTCACGATCACCATGAATACTAGTCGTAGGATAGTCTTTTTCACTTAAGAACGCAGCAATAAAATCAGCATTCCTTTTCTGTTCCACAAAAACCATGGTTCCTTTACAATCACCTATAGAATAATAGCAATATATTAACAGTCATGAAATATACAAATAATGAAATAAATTACCTAAGGATTCTAAAACTTTTATTAGTTCTTTCTTTTTTTCAAACTTAGTGACCTCTCTAATTTCTTGTATAACATCTTTGCATGCTCCTCCAATTTCACCCACAGCGACAAATACATAGTTTGGCTTTAAATAAGCTTTTGATAACATTTGAATATCATCTGCTAACGTGGCAGAAAATAGTAGTGTTTGTCTGGTATTCTACAAATTAAATTAAGAAATATTTACATTATGTGTAGTACATATTATTTATTCATTATCTAAGTAAATTCATTGATAATTTTAAAACACAATTAAAATATTTATTCTTACAACATCAACCATTGTTTCATGGTTCAATATTTTCTCAATATCCGGCTTGAAACCCATATCTAACATTCTATCTGCTTCGTCCAACACAAAGAATCTTAAGGATTTAAATGATACGTATCCTCGACCCACAAAATCGTTTAAACGTCCAGGTGTTGCAACTAATATATGAATACCATTCTGCAAATTAAAGAATAAATAAAATGTAAATTGAATATTTAAATTAAATTTGAATTAATATTTACAGCTAGTGTTCCCCTTTGATGTCCTGTTGCAGTGCCACCATAGAGAATTGATTGTTTAACACAAGTTCCATTTGTCAATTTAAATACAACATCGCGAATTTGTATAGCTAATTCTCGGGTTGGTGACATAATAATACATTGAGGTTCACAGTAATCTCGATCAAAAACTAAATCTTGTGGTTGAGAAAGTAAAGTATGCACAATTGGCAAAACAAATGCAGCCTGTAAATTACCATTCATTAATTTAATATTCATTATAATTCATTTAATAAGCACTTTCAGTTTTCAAAAATTACTCACAGTTTTACCAGAACCAGTTTGGGCAGTAGCCATCATATCTCGTCCACTAATAATAACAGGAATACAATACTTCTGAATCGGAGTAGGTGTGGTGTAATTGCATTTGACCAACTTTTCTATCAATACTTCACGCAAACCTGAACTCTTAAAGGATTCAATATGTTTTGGAACGTTATCACCGCTAACTTTAACTTCGATATTTTCATATTTATTGAAATTGCTTCCAACTCCAATTCCATAGACATCATTTTCATCAATTTCTGGAGGTATATATGTTGGTCTCGGTTTATCATTAACTGGCGCTTCTCCATCATCACCGCCAAAATTTCCATCGCCACCATCTTCATCACCATTACTTCTATCCATATTTCGGCCTCCACCTCTGCCTCCTCTTCCTCTGCCACCCCGACCACCACGGCCGCGGGATCCACCTTCGCGGTCTCCATCATCATTAGCGCCCCATTCACTAGCACCACCACCGCCATTTCCCCAACTATCACCTTGTGAAGCTGAGTCGAAGTCATCATTGTTTCTATTATTGTAGTTACCTCTGCCACGACCTCCTCCACGATTTCCACCACGGCCGCGGCCTCTCTGGTTTGAAGAACCTGATTCATCATCCCAACCACCGTCAGACATTATAAATCCTAAATAAAAATAACATAACAATTGTAAAGAATAGAAATAAAATGATACTTATAGATGAAATATAAATCAAAATCATAATACCTAAAAAATTTTTAAAAAATAAAATAAAACAATTCATTGCTTAAACTTTTTACGAGTGTTATTTTTTTATATATATTTTGGAATGTGTATTTTTTTTAATGATTATCCACAGTTGGTTGTCAGAAAACACTGATGTGTATAATTAAGAAATTCCAATTAAAATGTTTATGCTATTGACTTCAATGAACAAGTAAGTTGTCAGTCAGAATTTAACTAAAAATAAAAGTGTAGCTTAATATAAATATATGCCAGACAATAATAAATTGTCACTGAACACATTATTTTAAATAAGTTTTATAATAAATATAATATAAATAAAAAGTTTCCAGTATTTAAATTTTAAATTGAAAAGGAATGCTTAAAATAAATTGCTAAGCAAACACGCTCAAAAAAAATTTCTAACAGAAAATATTTAGTGTTTAAGATTATTAGTTTAAAAGAGAATATTATTATTTACTCAACATTTTCTTTAAATAAACAGCCTAAAAAAAAAACTTATTAATTCATAATGATAATCAACATAGGTTTACGTATTTTTGCATATGAAGACTTATTAAATAAATAAAGGTAACATAATATAAATTGACACGATTCAGATTCTACTTAATATGAAATTAAACTTTTCATAGTTTCAGTTTGTAGTATTCAGCACATTTATTGTTTTTAGGTAAAATAAATATAATTTGTTTTAATTTGAGCATTGAATTTTATAAGTTATTTATAATGTGTTGATAAGTGAGTACCAATTTTTAATGTCAAAAATATTTGTTACCTACTATATAATAACATAATTATATGTGCATGGATTAGGTTACAAAAAAAAAAGGATAGTTAAAAAGATTATACAAAATGTTTTCTTGAAAGCTAGGTATAAAAAAAATTATAATGTGACCATGTTTTTCATGCAGTGACAACCAAAATGAATTGATATAATTACTTATAAACTTCTTAACCTATTTAAATATTGAGAAAAAAAAATTTAATTGACCTATTATAGATCTAAATAACAACTTACAACATAACAAACAAAAAGCATTAGTTAAATTTCAATAATATAAGATACCTAACATATTATTATACTACCTTCCTAGTTATATAGATAATTTATATAACAAAGACATTTTATTTAGGTACCTATAATAAATTCCAAATTAATCATCACAATATTCATTAGGTACTAATAACAAATTATACATCAACAAACCCTGATACTATCATATATATTTAATAGTGTACTTTAGAAGTTTTAAGTACCCACAAATAATATTATACAATCACAACAAAATAACTAAAATATTTATTCTAGGTTTTTTTTATGCAATTTCGTCCAAATTTGAACTTAAAATTACTATAAAAATAAACTGTGCTTATTTATTTTTAGACTTTTTGGTAACAGAATTAACTATTTATGTGGAATATTGTTTTAAATTTTCAATAATTGGATATAAATTTTTAACTACAAAATAATTATTCAATTTTAAATTTGATAAATTTTCTCAAAATTTGATCTTTAAATGTTTATAAAAAACAATTGTGCCTAGGTATTTATTTTTAATATTTTCCAACTGGTATTATAACAATATACTAGGAGTCTTCTATTAAATTTTCAAGCTTTTTTAACCAACAAATGAAATTTTATTGATATTTCTAGAAAAAAAATTTTAAAAAAAATGAAAATGTCCCTAAACAGTTCAAAATATTTTGAAAATGTTATCGTGTATAGAAAATGCAAATATAAACAACCAGTGAAAATTTCATGTATTTACGATTATTTGTTTGAAAGTTACACCAAAATCCAAATTCAAAAAATTAGAAAAAAATATTTTAAAATGTTTAGTGAGAGAATATTGATTTTTATTACGATTGTTAAATTTTATTATTAAGTAGGTACTTTTAATGAAAAATTTTTTTAGAATATTAAAATAATTTTTAGAATCTATACTAGGGAGCACAATAAATATAATGGGTACCAGTGTAAAATGTTAGATTTTATATGCTGAATTTAAGATGCGTGTGTAATTTACTTCAGTTATTAGACATCGAAAAACAGAAAAATTATAAGTTATTATAAAAATAGATTTCATTGTTAATTCGGGCTAGGTATACAAATGCCTAAACGCATCAAAAACACGTGATCCTAAATAAACGAAAAAGGAATAATATTATTATCTTAAGAAATAATATTGCCATTGGTATTTACACCAATATGATGGCAGGGATTTTAAATTGCTATCGACCACAAATGTGAAAAAAATGTCAAAGCACATTTTGTGGTGGTAATAAAAACTTCGGGGATAATAATATGTCTGACGCAAGCGCAAATAATAACTTACACAACACGTGGAAAAAATTAAAAATATGTAACAAGAATGGACAAACCTAATGGTCGAGCAAGCCAAACCACAAACACGAAACAAGAAAACACGCGACTTTACAGTGTGGCGGTAAAGAGCCTCTATGGTGAAAAGCATGGTTTCCAAAAACGTGGTTTGGCGAACTCGAAAAAAACCGTGACAAGACGCCACGCAATGGCGTGTCCAAACGATGGCAATAATAATAATAGGAAAGATAAAATGCAAAATACTTACGAGTCTAGGTGCAACGCAAACAAACGGAAAAATAAAATCGGTTGTTCAGGCTCGCTGCGCAGGAAAAACGTGGAAGCGGTCTGTAAAACGTGGAACGAATGCCGGGCGGTGAAAAGGTGCGTGTCTGCGAAAGAGCCAAAACGAAATAACGGCCGCGGACTGCGAAGCGCTGAGTACCGTTGGTGCGTTGACGGATTCAGATCGGAAATAGGCGGGCGGGTGCGGGCGGTACGTCGACGCGATTCGCCGGCACCGGGCGCGCACGATCGCCACCGGTGTGCACGGACTCACAGGCCGGATCATGGAAAAGAAACCGTCAAAAGTTGTAAAGTGCAGCGGCAGTGGCGGTAAAATCCTATTGTCTTGGCGGTGCCGCCGCACTGGAGGATCAGGTTAACATTGTGGCCTGCTGCGCTTTACCGCTGCAGTGATGCAGTGTGCGGGGAGCGAGCATCTTTAACGTTTTCGGTGTGGGTCTCCGTGACTCCGTCGCCGGCGTGCACAAAATATTATTATTATTATTTTCCTACCCGAAGACGATAAGTTTGGAGTGATGGTCACACGAGTGGCGGGTGAGTGGTGGGCGGCGGCGGCGACGGCGACCGCCGTCCGTGGTCCGTCGTCGTTTCGTTGATAAGTTGATTGTCAATAATTATTATTATTGCCAATCGTTATTTTTTCCCTCTTTAACGGCCTAACACAGTAATACGTTTCCACGTCGTCACGACCGTATTTTCGCGATACGATGTGATTGAACGCTAGATATTTTATTCTTATATACTTTTTTTTTTTAACTAGATACTATACTTTATATTTATACAAGTATGACAAGTCTCCGCTCAGAATCGTTTTTCTTATACAATGATTTACCATTGAATTCAAATATAACACATTCATTTCAATGATTTGATCGACAACTAATGTTGTACCCACTTATCCACCTTTTATATATTTTATAAAGAAAAATTCCGAAAATATTAAAATTACTTTTATATTGAACGACCAAACTAAAATATAAAAGTTATAATATATTCCAATAAGTCACTACACTGGGCTACACTAATAAGTCAAAATTACATAATTAACATTTGCCTTCCTCCTAATGTCCGGAGGGCGTGTATGTGAGAACTGAACAAATGCCACTGTACAGTGAACACAAACATTTAGTATAAAAATGTGCAAACTTACCAAGTCCACTGCCTATGAGTTGAGTTTTGGTAGGAAAAGAGGTAAAGCGAGTCAAATTAAAAACGCACTTTTTCTACTGGTTGAAAGTTATCTCAATTTATTGTCGTTCGCAGAACACGGTACCCACTACCCAGGGACTAGCACTTAGCGGTGTGGGTGGTGTAAATGATCGTATACTTTATACTGATCACATTCAGATACGATCACACATCACACTAGTCAGAGGTACATATTGTATCACCATACACTATACAGTGATACTTAAATACGACGACTACAACCGATTTCTATTCTGAACATGCTGTTCAAATTATATTTGAGGCTATTGAATACTAGCTGGTTCGTTCGTCGAGTTAACGTTGGACACGGCTGGGCGAGGCGTAAACAGAGAGCATTGTGCCATTGTGCTCCTAAGGACTGAATTATGATCTCGCTTTTCAACAACGATAACGTCAGTGTTGTACATACTTTGTATTAGGGATGACCGTTTCCTGTACGTGACAGTTGGGGTGTTATTTATTGTACTTGTTACAATGATATGTGAGCATATTATCATTACTATAGTATTAGTCAATATTATAAATTATGTATTATGTTTATAATATAATATATTATTGGTTTTTATTATCTTACGAAATATATAGAATATCATATATATGTTTCTTGGTTTTTATAATTTTGTTTTAGAGTATGTATGTATTTAACTATTATATTGACATATTGTAAGTCATTAAATTGATTAACATTTAAATTATTAAAGAGCATAACAGCAACAAAAAGTAAAGTAAAGTTTTACAAGTTCTAGGAATGACTAGTACTGACTACTGTAAATACCTACCCAATTATGAGGATAATCTTAACTATATCCTTGAGAAACCAGATTTTTATATTTTTATTCATTAGTTTAATAATTAGAACGATAGATAATAAGTAAAATATAAAAACTTAAAATTCATCATTGGCCATTAGATTAAATGCAATATCAAAAATAGGATTTATTACAGATTAGTAAGCGTATCTTGGAACGACCAAACTATATCTGTGAGTAAAAAAAAAAAAATTAAATCACGTTTGACATGTAGATACCGAGAGCGACAACCGTGCTTAATCACGATTTTGTACTGCGTGGCATACCGCTATTTAAGTCACCGGGAGTCGGGACGGCGGGACATACACTTGATACCGTAGGGCGTAGATGTTTTTAATTTATAATTTACACTGATGGCACATTTTTTTTTTACTCAGCGTTTATTTTTTTCGTAAGACACGTGTTACTGATAAAACGAAGTGAGTAATGTAACTCGTTTGCATACAACAGACAATAGTTGACTCTGCCCATTTTCACAAATTGTACAGTATGTATAATATTATATATTTTTATATTTTTATATTACATATACATGTATAATATAATACATTTATACGTGTTTTGTATACTCAGCTATAATAAAATGTGTACCTAATATATAAAAATCACACATGATCAGGTATTGTAAAAACTACCTACCGACGAAGACAAATATAGAATGCCCCAGTGGCGTCCGCAGGGGGGAGGCTAACGGGCTGAAGCCCCCCCCCCATTGCCCGTATTATTATTACTTTTCAAAAAAATATTAATCAAGTTTAAACTGTCAAGTATAGTAAATCTCATATATGTCTTACCAGAATGAATTCATTTTTGAAAAAACATTGTATTTGCACACCAATTTTCATAAATTATCTGTAATTTTTCGGTAAAAATATGAACTACTTATGGGTATGAAAGACCTTGTATTAAATTGTCTAGCCTTAGATATACACATTTTATATTTTATAAGTTTTGAACTACAAATTAACCGTGGTTTTGACGAAATTTAAACTTTAAATGCTTATAAAAAATAACCATGATGCCTATGTATTGTTAATATTTTAGCTATAATAAAAAATATTATATTGTAACAATATATCAGGAGCCTTATATTAAATTTTTACACTTTTTGGCCCAACAGATAAAACTTAATTGATATTTATAGAAAAAAAAACTAAAAAAATTGAAAGCTGTAAATGTCCATAAACAGCTCAAAAAGAGTCAAAATATTTTCAACATTGTATGGTGTATAGGAAATGCTAATATAAACATTCAGTGAAATTTTCGAGTGAACATCCAATGTTGTAAAAATTTGAATTTCAAACGCTCATAAAAATTTAATTTGACTTTCCGGTAGAGATTTTTTTATTGATAAAGGTAGACAAACTTATGAGTAATCTTGTATTACATTTTCAAATCTTAGAATTAAAAAGAAAAATTTTACGAATTCTTAACTCAAAATAATTCGCTAATTTTCGTGATTTTTCCATATTTTTACAATTTTTGAACTTTAAATGCTTATAAAAAAAATTGTGACTAAGGATTTTTAATATTTTTCATCTGCCTTTGAAACAATATATTAGGAGCCTTGTATTAAATTTTCAAGCTTTCGCAACCAACAAATAAAATTTTATTGATATTTTTAGAAAATAAACTAAAAAAAAATGGAAAATGAAAATGTCCCTAAACAGTTCAAAATAAATCAAAATATTTTGAAAATGTTATCGTGTATAGAAAATGCAAATATAAACAACCAGTGAAAATTTCATGTATATACATTCATTTGTTGTAGAGTTACACCAAAAACCAAAATCGATTTTTTGGAAAACTGATTTTGGGTAAAAATTTTTATGTTGTTTTTCCCAGCGCTTGTGAAAACTACTGGGAAATTTTTACTTTTGACCCCCCAAAGTACCAACTAGATTCACTTTCCTATCAGAAAAGCTACTGTTTCTAAAACGTGATGACAGACACAAAAAAAAAAACACACATCATTGTAAAACCAATACATTCATCGCTCCGCTCAGAATCTAAAAACATCAAAATTGTAAGCTGAAAAGCGTGAGTACTGAGTACGAATCGTCGAGTGCAATACGTGACACAAGTGGCTGGAAACAGGTTGTGTTTGTTCAAGGTCCTAATTTGTTAATAATAAGTTTGACAATAGGTCAATTTACTCTTATACTAGAGTGAAAAATACTAAAAAAATGTATTATTATTATAATAGTTGTATTATCATATTGTCTATGTTAAATTAAATTCCAATTTGTAATTTGATTCTTCATGCAAATATATTTTAATTGCTTAATTACCATTATTTTTTTCTCCGTAGAAAAGAGGTTATCATTTTTAAAATAAAATAATAATAAAATTTTTTTAAGCTTATGATAATTTATGATAACAATTATTAAAATATTAAATAATCATTGTATTACGGGTGAAGGGTCACATTTTAATATTAATGAAAATTAATTTTAATACTGTGTTGAGTTCGTCGGTCGTCCACAGCGGACTGTAATGTTATGCTTATGATTGATTTTAATAATAATGAATACTAGTTTTAAAATTAATAATTCAAACTAATGTAAAATCAATTTTCCAAGGTAAATTTTATTTTAAAACTTTTTGAAATAGGTAGGTGTGTGAGGTGGGAGTAGTTTTATCACTTTTATGTAGGCCACTGTAGTCCAAAAAAATTCGTGACGGCACTGTCTATACAATATATTAGTAATTAGTATAATATAAAATTAAATGTACATACTTTAATTTTATTAAAAACACAAGATATATACTCATAATTCCACAAATTAGTAAAATCAATTGAAAAATGTAATTTTTTTCGGATTAAAAATAACTATTTGAAATGTTCATAATATTAGTTTTTCAGCAAAATATCGAATCAGTAATCACTTATTATATTGCCATTATAATAATATATAGTATACGTCATGATATGTATACACTATACAATGTAGACAATAGACGAATAATATAGTACCTATTACCATAATCCAAGGTATTTATTATTTTGTTATTAACAAATTAAAATCGATTAAACTTTACTGTAGGACAATGCGTCAGCGTGTATATTATCTATTTATATTATCTATACAAAATAATAATATGCCATTATTATTGAAAATTATTAAAATAAATTAATGACAAAAATGAAAAAAAGTGTAGCCAATGTTTGTCAAAAGTGTTTACAGTCTGAATGTGCCACCAAAACTTGAATCAATAATGGGTAATCAATTTGGTTGATTGTTCAAGTATAACAATTTGAACAAACTATTAGAAAATGTTCAGTTTTAACTTT